ATATACAAATTATTGTTATTACTTTTTTCATCGAAAATGGTGTATTAAAAAAAAAAAAAAGAGAAAATAAAAGAAATACGTAAATTTAGTTGAAACACCTTTCCGTAACGAGCTTAATTAATTTCTATATTTTAATATAATCAACAGACGAACGTAATTACGTGTTAGCTGTTTGCCTCGCCGACGGTAACATAGTCATGTTACGTTCATTCGACGACGTATCACCGATCACTATATTTACGAATCTAAAAACACCATTACACGCAGAATGGAGTAATTCGAGAAAGCTCTTAGCAATAGCAGGAACTAAAGAATCGGATTCTCTAGTTCAAAACAATTTCCAAGAATATACGAATCTATTAAAATTTTATTCGGTGAACGGTACTCTAGTTTACACAACGGCGATTCCATACACGCAGGTGAGCTCTTTCTCTCTCTCTCTCTCTCTCTCTCTCTCTCTCTCTCTTTAATTTTGTATCTACTACACGCGAGAAATAAAACGAATTCTTATCGTACTGACATTGATTTACGAGTTTTGTTATCTTCAGTGCCCTGTATCGGCGTTAACCTGGGGTCATAACGACAGAAGACTATTCGTAGCAACTGGTGCAAGAGTACATGCGGCATGGGTGTCCAGGTGATATATAATACGATTTATGTATGTGCTTTTCTTATTTTTTTTTATTTTTTTTATTTCTTCATTTAATTTCATTATCATCGTTATCTGTGAGATAATTAATAACATTGTAATTGACCAGAAACAATTTCAAATTAATTCTAATAAATGTACGATATTTTTTCTAAACTTAAACCTCCGCTTAAATCTTGTTAACCCTTTGACTGCTTAAGGCGTATATATACGCTCTCACAAATCCATCAATATATACGAAAGGTGTAAATATACATAGGCCCTCTGTATTTTTTTTTTTTTTTTACTATAACACCTTTATATTGCAGTATTACCGATTAATTTAACATGGAATTCATTGTGATATGTAACATAGCATATATGTAACATAGCAATTAAATATTGGCAATTATTTCAATATCGTTTAATTAATTGCTTTTATATTTGAAATTCGTCGTCTATTTTAATTTTATTATCTTTATTCGTTCATCACATTATCGTTTTATTATTTTTATAATTAGATTAATATTATTAAAACATCCAGTTTAAAGTTTATTATACTCTGTGTTACATTATAAATTTTTGTATTTTTTTCTATGATATTTAAATCACCGATTATTATTGAAAAAATGCACAAAATAAATAAAGTAAATTAAAATAGCCTAAAAAATTACTTTAAAAAAATTTGTTTAAAATTCATATTTTTATTTTATTTGCCATTATTATCTGTTTTGGTCAGAGTAGTCAATGGAAAAATAGTCGCAGCGACTGACATGCGAAAATTGCGCCCACCGTTCATATTAATGGATTCGTTCGAGAACGCGCCACAGTCAAAGGGTTAATTGCCAAATGTTTCTTAATATATTTATATAAATATCATATTTGTGACCGTAAAATCTTATAAAAAAGAAAAGAAAAAAAAAACAAAACGTATGAGAACGTTTTACACGTATCGTATGATAAATCTCATATAACAATGGATAATAATTAAGAGGAGTATTTAAACTCTAAATGAAATTTCTACGTCACAGGAGGGTCGGTTCGTTGCAGTTGCTATCTAGATTAGCAGTGAGGGCTGCCCTCACGAGAGAGTCCAGTGTCCAACAACTTCCTTTGCCACCGAGATTAAGAGCATCGGTAGCTGCATTGTTCGCCAGTACAATACGGTAAACGCAATTGCAAATGTAATATTAGAGGTACCGTAAAGTACTGTCTCGTATTTTCAAATCCGTTTTCATTTACGTGATACAACATTTTGAAATATTCATCTTAAATATAATACACATTTTATTATTATAAAAGGGACAATATTTTGTCGGTACTTTTACAATAGTAATTAATTAATGAAGGAAAAATATGTTTGATCGTAAAGTAGTTTTGTTATTGTAGATGTCCAGTACCAGAACCAAGAGAATTAAGACGTTTTGTATCAAGGCCACCACCTGGAAGTGGAAGATTACATTGTACAATGCTTAGACATGCTATAGAACCTATACCTTGTTATACATTATATTTAGAATATCTAGGTGGACTTGTGCCATTATTGAAAGGACGAAGAACTAGTAAAATTAGACCAGAATTTGTAATATTCGATCCTCAGAATCAAGATACTTTGCAATTATTCGAAGATGTTTCACAATGTCCTTCGTTCAGTGATGGCTCTGATACGGAAAGGGATACTGCTGATTTGTGTAGTTCACCGAGAAATCGTCGAAAAAATAGAAGAAAAAGGGAAGAAAAAAGTATAGAAGAAAGTGACGATTTAACATACGTCGACACTTTACCTGAGGTAAGAAAATACAAGATTTCTTTTTTATTTTATTCTAAGATTAGCGATTTAATTACGTATTTAGTTACTCGATCGATATAACAAGTCTCGCGTGACGTAAGATATCTATACAGAATGTTCTAGGTTTAGAAAGGAACGTAAGAGTGTCATCGTGATTTTACTTAACCGAATCTATTTGTCTTTAGCACGCAAGACTGGTCGAAGTTACTTCGAATATCTGGGGCACGAAATTTAAATTCCATGGATTGGCTGATTCTGTACCAGCTAACTTAGGTCAAGTTACTTATCGAACATCATTGTTACATTTACAACCAAGACAAATGACATTGGTGATTACGGAATTGAGAGATGATTTACCTGCAGGTAATGATTTAATTTTTTTTCTTCTTTAATATTATCTTAAAATTTCAAATGAAACGTTTCATCATACAGGTCCAGATCCAAGTTTCAACCCAAATCTTTTTTCCGAGGATGAGGAAGAAACATTTCAGGATCTTCAAGGAACTTCTAGAACGACATCGGAAACCCAGCCACCACCAATAGCTCCGATGACACCGCGTAACGCACGACTGAATTCAAATCGTCCAAAATCTCAGATCTCAAATCAATTTTTAACCACAGAAGCCTTACCTGCCTCATTGGCACGCGTTGAAAGTTATGAAAACGAATTTCCTTATGTAGATCTACAAGAGATGACGAATTTGTACGAGAATATACGAAGTGCACCTACAAATACCTATCGCACACCACCGAGACATAATCCACCAAGATGTTGCGACGTTCCGGCTTTACAATCGCCTAAAAATGCAGTTGCACCGACACAAACATTGATAGCTACGTCGAACAATGGTACAGATTACTCTAGTAATATTCAAAGAGTTAAAACAGCGTTGGCTGATCAACAAAATAACGGAATGGTTACGAAAAAGGAACTTGAGAATAATAAATTTAATCAAATATCTCAGGAAGATAAAACGAGCCTAAATTCTGGTTCGTCGAACATCATTCCCACGTCCATGCACAATGGCCAAGTACCCTCAGGTGAAGCATCCAGTTCACAAAATTCCATGTTAAATAATTTAGAGTCCGGTAATAATTGTTCACAATCACAAATGATTTACATGAATGGATTGAACATTATAACGTCATGTTCGAGTAACGTCCTAAATTCCAATCACTCGAACAACGTGCAACAAAGCTGCCACGGTTTCTTACAAGCTAGAAATAATCAGAACAACGGGACGAATTTGAATCTAAGTCCTACGCAAAGTAATTTAAATCCGTTTCCAAAAAATAATAATGATTCGAACGGTTCGTCCAGTTTATTACTTCCGTCTACGTGTTCCTATCAGTTGTCCGATCATTCTGATCACGAACAATCAAGTTCATATTCGTCGTGTACGTTGGAACAACAGAAGGAAAACAAATCTCAGGGTACTTTTGGAAAAATCAATATTTCTAATAATCAATCGAGTGGAAAAACGACAGAGGAACTTTGTTTTATTGACGAGGAGAATAGAGCTGAGGCTGAAATTGAACAATTTCGTGGAGTACATAGGACATCAACGGTAGTTAGTATCGGACCACTTTGTTCTAACGATTCTATAGTAAGAAGTTGTAGCGTTGGATATTTGGATTTAGTCGATGCACAGTTGGTACCTTGCGACGTTGCCTTGAATATGTTGAGAAAGGAAGCACCTAACAAGAGACTAGTATTGGTTTCAAGAAAAACGAAAAGAAGGAAAAAAAATCGGACGCAGCATGACATTGGACAGCAGAGTACTAAACCACCTAGACTTCGTAATTGTGGTAAATCGAAGAGTTTGGACTCTAGTGATATATTTCCTAGTAACGAATTGATATCAACTCCTCCTAAATTACCTGAACACCTTGAGGAAGCAACGAACGTTGTTAATTGTTCGGAGATAGTTACTGAGGAAAAGTGCAGTGATTCTAATGTTGTAGCTTTAGGTGAGATTACCAACGATACTGTGACTGAATGTCAAAAGAAGATACTACATGGTGACGATGAAACTTTTGTTAAGAAACCGAGTCGATTAGAAACTTGCGCGTCTCCTGTTAGGTGACTAAACAAATTATTAATTGTAACACGAGTGTAAATTATACAACGAATTTATATTGACATTTAAAAATGATTTTTTTAGAGGTTCTAGTCCGAGTGGTTCATTGGCATCATCATTGGATGGTCTCGCAGCAAGACTTAGAGATTTCGATGAGAGTCATTCATTACCACCACCTTCTCCTCGTCCATCTCCAAGGTAAATCAATTGATTAATTAATTACTCTTAATTATTTCTCAACATCTAAACACATTAATAATCACGCGTAGACTGCCAAGAAGTTCACCGAGCAGTCCAGCACCTTCGAAAAAAGGAAAGAGACCAGCTTCAGCTTCGCCAATCAGAAGAAGACTTCTCTCGAGTCCTTTATTAAGTAGGCGAATACGAAAAAGTCGTGGTGAAAGTTCTGACGAGGAAGGACTTATACAGGACGACTCGTCCTCGAGTTATCGAGACTTGGAAACGTTTCAGAAAGCACAACTTCGTCAAAAAGTTAGCAACAATTAATATTCCAAACAATTTTAAACATAAAATAGAATAATATAATTTTATATATAATAATAGCTTATAAGAAAAAATAATTAAACGAAATCTTGACATACACAAAAACACGATATATCATCACATATATCCCTACATTATTTTAGTTAAAACAGAAGAGTGGAGGTCATAATGGCCATAAACAAGAAGCAACCAGACGAGAACTTGTGATGCACAATAAAGCACCGATGTGGAACGAAGCTAGTCAGGTGTATCAGCTTGATTTTGGTGGTAGAGTTACCCAAGAGAGTGCGAAAAATTTTCAAATTGAATTCCGTGGCAAACAGGCAAGTTTTAAAATATTGTATATATTTTTTCATGTTTCATACTCTATTACTTATTAATATTTTTGATTTATTTATTTTGCAGGTAATGCAGTTCGGTCGAATAGATGGAAATGCCTACACGTTGGATTTTCAATACCCGTTCAGTGCATTGCAAGCGTTTGCTGTTGCCTTGGCAAATGTTACACAGCGGCTCAAGTAACCGTCACTCCCCAGTACCTCGTTTGATATATGTACGAAATTAGATACAATTAGTCGCACGTTGCAACCAAGTACATACACTTCTCTATCATTATAATATTTTTACATTTATTTTCTATAATTTATCTCATTTCATAATTTTTTATATTTCATTATTTAAAAAAACCTATTTTTGAAGAATTATTAAATACTATCTACTTTTCACTAAATTCCGAAGTACCCTAGTAGCACAAAATATTAAATACATGTGTATTTAATATTAACACATGTATTTAATATTAACACATGTATTCAATATTTTGTGCTACTAGGGTATATTCAGAATTGAATTTTTAAAATTATAGATTATTTTTGTATAATCCTATAATTTGTACTAAATTTTTCATTTTTTTTTTTTTCCAGATCTCTACGAAATTTGGAGTATGAATATTAACGACACGAGAAGAAAAAAAAGACTTACGTGTATACAAGACACACACATACAAACACACCCACCCACGTGTCTTTCGATTATAAAATGATTTCAAATAATAGTCATGGTCTAGAGAATGCAGTATATAATTAATAAAAAATAAAGAGAGAGACAGAGAGAGACAGAGAAACGTGTCGTCGTCGAGAGAAGAAAAATTAAAATGAAAAAAAATAGAAAAAAAAAACAAATAAAAAAAAAACAATAAAAATAAACGACATTAGATAAGAGCACAAGAATCTTTATGCGTTTTCGCAATAAAACATTTTGTTCCGTGTGTCTTCTAAAAGATTAGAATTAATGGAGAATGCATATATGGAAATGATAACAAAAAAAAAATAAATAAATAAATAAAAAACAGAAAGAAATAAATAAAAATATTCTCCGCTTCCTTCGATCGATGTTAAAAAAAAAAAAAAAAAAAATGAGGAGGAAAGAAGTTACGAGCGATTTGAATTTGTGTGGAACAAATAAGAAATTTTTTTTGGGTAATTGTGGTAATGTTTCGTTACATATATATATAATAAATATATATATAAATTATACATACATAACGTATACATATATAATATGTATATATTTATATATATATGTATATTGTATGCTTCTTTGTCGTACCGTCCAAAAATAATTTCGTTTCTCCCAACTTCGAGCGCTCATTTTTGTATAGTTTATGCGACACGTTGGAATCTAGTAAAATGCTGTTGAAAATTTCAACTCTCGTTCATTTTTTTTTTTTTGCGGTCCGAAAAATATATATACACACATACACACATACACAGAAGGAAGCCAGAAATGAGGAGAGACATATAAAAAAGAGAATGGCAAGAGATACACATTCGAATTTTATATATACACTTAATTACACGGACCCGCATTAAAATATAATTACACAGAGACGTGCGAACGAGTTATCAACGTTGTTCAATTTAAATGTTTCTTATACACGTATGATATATTATTATTATAAATTATTAAAATATAAAAGAACAAAATATATTACACGCATATTATCCGGCCTGTATTGTTCCTCGTCGATATAAAATAAAATAAAATAAAATAAAAAAAGAAACCACAGAAATCGACGAGGCATCATTGCAAAAAAAAATCCATTAAATAAATCATTATTTAATAAATAACAAAAAAGAATAAAAAAACACGAGTGAAAGATATAGAAATGAAAAGAGAGAGAGAGAGAGAGAGAGAGAGAGATAAAATTAATAATTGTGAATTGAATTATTAATGAATTAATTAATTAAATAAATAAATAAAAACGCCAAAGCAGAAAGTATTCTCACTAAGAAACGGTCGGCGAGTGTCGTTTTTACTCTTACGAAACAAAACCAAAAAGAAAAAGAAAAAAAGTAATAAAATTAAGAAAGAAAAGATAAATGAGAAAAAGAAATGAAAGAAGAAGAAAATAAAATCAATGAATAAATAAATAAATAAATGAGTAAATAAATAAAAATCGTCGTATTATATTAGGAATTACAACACAAGCATAGATACGTACGCCTAATCGTAAAACTGATATGTGAATGAAATCGGTGTCACAGGCCTACGAAATATTACAAAAAAAAAAAAAAAGAAAAAAGAATAAAAAAAATATATAAAAGTGCTAGTATATCGAGAATGGGGCATATTATAATAATCGATAAGCCGATGTTATTATATTTAAAAAGATCATAATAATCGCTTTATAATAATCATTCGTCACACACACACACATCATTGCTACTTTTGAAACATTACATAAATTACATCGATTATAATATAAAAGCTTTAAATTGTGTGTATAAAAATTTGTTTTGTTTTTTCTTTTATATATATATATATATATATATTATTTGAAAAAAATTTATATATTTATTTAAAAAAAAAAAAAAAGAGAAGGTTAACCGAGTCAAAAAATAAAATTTTACATAATTTTTCCTAATTTAATTTACAACAATATTCATATGCATTTTTAAGGGGACCTTCTACTCTGAGCACTTAAAAAAAAGGCTATTTTCGCGAATTTTTTCCAAGAAAACTATAAAAGATATCGATCTAAAAGTTGTTGGGTTTGTTAAATTGAGTCTTAAACTATATAAATRAATTTTTATTTTTTCATTTTAATTAATTTTTAATTGCAAAAACAGTAGTATAAAAAAACACCTTAAAACTTTAGTGCTTTGGTAGCTCCATCAGAACTTGAGAATGGCTTACCTGAATTATAAAATTCAGGTTTTTACCTGAAATTCAAAAGACCATTAATAAAATTTATTATCGGCCCATTAATAAAATTTATTATCGGCCCATTAATAAAATTTATTATCGGCCCATTACCGGCATTTATTATCGG